GGATTCAAGATTAGTAATAGAGATGTATGCCTTCTTGATAGTGCTACAACGCATACAATATTCAAAGAAAAGAAATATTTTTCTAATTTGGTTATGAAAATGGCATATGTCAACACAATATCAGGTAGTACAAAATTAATTGAGAACTCTGGAAGAGCGACCTTATTACTACCTGGAGGGACAATATTAAACATTGATAATGCATTATATTGTAGTAAGTCTCAAAGAAACTTATTAAGTTTCAAAGTTATTCGCCAAAATGACTATCATGTTGAGACGGCTAATGAAGGAAAGGTTGAATACCTTTACATTACTACAATTAATGTAGAGAAGAAAATTGTGCATGAAAAATTACCTACACTTTCTTCTGGGTTGTACTATACAAGTATAAGTACAGTTGAATCACATGCCGTAGTAAACTAAAGGTTTACTAATTTTAATGATTTTATCATTTGACATGACCGGCTGGGTTATCCTGGATTTAATATGATGCGCAAAATCATTGAGAATTCACATGGGCACACCTTAAAGAGCCCAAATATCCTTCAATCAAAGGAATTCTCTTGTGTTGCTTGTTCTCAAGGAAAGTTGATCATTAAGCCATCAACAGTTAAGGTTGGAATTGAATCCCCTGCGTTTCTGAAACGTATTCAGGGTGATATATGTGGACCAATTCAATCTGCATGTGGACCCTTTAAATATTATATGGTCTTGATAGATGTTTCTACAAGATGGTCACATGTGTGTTTATTATCAACTCGCAACATGGCTTTTGCGAGATTGTTGGCTCAAATAATAAGATTGAAAGCACAATTTTCAGATTATACAATAAAGATAATCTGTCTAGATAATGCTGGTCAATTTACATCTCAGGCATTTTATGATTATTGTATGTCTACTGGTATAACAGTTGAACATCCAGTTGCGCATGTTCACATTCAAAACGGTCTTGCAGAATCATTGATTAAACGTCTGCAATTGATAGCTAGACCATTACTAATGAGAACAAAGTTATCCGTGTCTATGTGGGGGCATGCTTTTTTGCATGTAGCAACACTTGTGCGCATAAGACCGACCAATTATCATGAATTCTCCCCATTACAATTGACTTTTGGTCAAGAGCCAGCCAAACATTTTCCATCTTAGAATTTTTGAATGTGTGGTGTATGTCCCAATTGCTCCACCACAACGCACAAAGATGGGGCCCCAAAGAAGGTTGGGGATATATGTTGGGTATGAATCTCCTTCAATCATAAAATATTTGGAGCCTATGACTGGAGATTTATTTAAGGCAAGATTTGTTGATTGTCATTTTGATGAATTAGTATACCCAACATTAGGGGGAGAACATAAGTCGTTGGGAAAAGAGATAGATCGGAATTCATCATCTCTATCTCATCTGGATCCTCGAACAAACCAATGTGAGCAAGAAATTTAAAGAATAACTTATTTGCAGAACATTGCAAATCAGCTACCAGATGCATTTACTAATCTTCCAAGGATTACTAAATCGCATATTCCAGTTGTTAATGCTCCAGTTCGAGTTGATATCCCGACGGGACAAATTGTTAAGGCAAATGAGTCTAGACCACATTTGAAGCGTGATAGACCAATTGGTTCCAAGGATAAAAATCCTCGAAAGAGAAAAGGAATAAATGATCAAGATGATCATGGGTTGAAAGAAATTTCTCAAGATGAGACCCAAGTCATAACACATGATGAGGAGGAGGTTCTAACTTCTAAAAACAATAAAATTTCAATGAATTATGTCTCGACGAGAAAGTTGTGAAATCGAAATAATGTTGTGATTGACAACATATTTGCCTATACTGTTGCTATTGACATAATGCAAAAAGATAAAGATTTTGAGCCAAAATCTATTCACGAATGTAGACAAAGAAATGATTGGCCAAAATGAAAGGATGCAATTCAAGCTGAATTGACTTCACTAGAAAAACGTGAAGTTTTTAGATCAATAATCCGAACACCTAAAGGTATTAAGCCAGTGGGATACAAATGGTTTTTTGTACGTAAATGAAATGAGAAAGGTGAAGTCGTGAGATATAAGGCCTGACTCGTTGCTCAAGGTTTTTCTCAAAGACCTGACATTGATTATATGGAGACATATTCTCCAGATCACCTTCAGATATCTCATAAATCTGACAGTTCATGAAAAACTTGAAATGCGTCTAATGGACATTGTCACAACCTATCTACATGACTAATTGTACTACAACATTTTCATGAAAATTCCTAAAGCATTCAAAGTGCCTGAAGCATACAAAGATTCAAGAGAAACTTGTTCAATAAAGCTTCAGAAATCTCTGTATGAATTGAAACAATCAGGAAGAATGTGGTACAATCGTCTGAGTGAATATTTGTTAAAGAAAGGGTATAAAAATGACCCGATTTGTTCCTGCATTTTCATTAAATGGTCGAGGTCTGAATTTGTTATAATAGTTGTGTATGTTGATGATTTGAACATCATTGGCACTCGTAAAGAGCTTTTAGAAGCTGTTGAGTGTCTGAAAAAAGAATTTGAAATGAAATATCTCGGCAAGACAAAATTTTATCTTGGCCTACAAATTGAGAATTTATCAAATGGAATACTTGTTCATCAATCAACGTAAAAAAAAATACTAAAGCGTTTTTACATGGATAACTCACATCCATTGAGTACTCCAATGGTGGTAAGATCGTTTGACATCAATACAAACCCATTTCGACCTCAAGAGAATGATGAAGAGCTTCTTGGTGATGAAACTCCTTACCTTTAGTGCGATTGGGACACAATGTACCTTGCTAACAATACTCGACCAGATATCTGTTTTGCAGTAAGTCTACTTGAAAGATTCAGTTCCTCTCCAACAAAAAGACATTGGAATGGTGTTAAACACATACTTCGATATCTTCAGGGGACCATGAACATGGTTTTATTCTATTCTAATGAATCGAAGTCAGAACTGATTGGTTACGCAGATGCAGGGTATTTATCTAATCCGCATAAAGCTCGATCACAAACAGGCTATTTGTTTACATGTGGAGACACGACAATATCTTGGTGATCAATGAAGCAAACGTTGGTAGCCACTTCTTCAAATTATGCAGAAATAGTAGTCATCCATGAAGCAAGTCGAGAGTGCGTCTGGTTGAGATCAATGACCCATCATATTCAGGAAAGGTGTGGATTTTCTTTGAAAAAGAATATACCAACCACAATGTACGAAGATAATGCTGCATGTTTAGCTCAATTGAAAGAAGGATACATCAAATGAGACCGGACAAAGCATATTTCACCAAAGTTCTTTTTCACGCATGTTCTTCAACAATATGGTGAGATAGAAGTTCAACAAATTCGTTCAAGTGATAATCTTGCTGATTTATTCACTAAGGCATTGCCAACATCAACATTTGAGAAGTTGAGATACAAGATTGGGATGCACCGTCTCCGAGATATCAAGTAAAATTTTCATCAGGGGGAGCGCATTATGCGTTGTACTCTTTTTCTTAACTATGGTTTTGTCCCAAGTTGGATTTTCCTGGTAAGGTTTTTAACGAGGCAACATTCAAAGCGTATTATGAGATATGTGTACTCTTTTTCTTTCACCAGGTTTATTGCCACTAGGTTTTTCCTAGTAAGGTTTTAACGAGACACATAATCTATGGATATCCAAGGGGGAGTATTGTAAATCCATTGTATAGTATATGTGTATTATCCATTAGATTTATCCACTATTAAATGGGTTCATGTATAGATGCTTTCAAGGTGATAAAAACTTCCAAGATAACTATGTATCTATTAATTAGATGACTTTTTGAATGATATTTCAACACTATAAATAGAAAATTACTCACCATTTGGAAGACATACTTGAATAAGGAAATTCTCTCCTCTATCTTATATTTCTTGTATTTTTCTTCTTATATTCTGAGCTTTCTTTACAATAAAATATATTTTAGAGTAATATTTATATCGTTATATGCTGGAATTATATATTTTTGTTATTTTTTTATTTCAAGATAAAAAGATAATTTATCTCAATATAATTATTAATCCTGAAATAAATTATTCAATCTTTACAACTATATAATAAATTAAAAAATATTTAATAATTATTTTAAAATTAATTATTCTTTTATCCCTCGTATCAAACCTAAAAATAAAATTGCCGTCTTGGGGTCAAACTAGAGGAAAAATGGTTTTGTCTTTATATTATTATCTAGAAGTATACACACATGTCAGCTCATGGCCAATTCCAATTTTTAATTTTTTTTTATGTTTTCGATAATTCTAATGCTAAATTCTGACTTTTCCTGATAAAAATCAATTACATAATTTATAGTACTATATACTTGTCTTTCTTTTAGACCTCTCTTGTATAATTTTAATATTTTATCTTACATTTTTATATTGCTTATATTTTGTAAATATCAAATGATATCTTAAATCTAACTGTAATTAAAAATTAAATAGATCTTTTCAAATTTATTTATTTTAAATCTGTTGCAAAAACTTGTTATCAAGAATAAATATTCCCTTTTCTTTTATATTATTATTTAGATTTTATCTTTAATTCTAAAAGTTGTGTGAATATCGTTTGGGGACTAACAAAATATTAGATTATCATTTTAACATATACAAAAATGTTATATCATAATTTAATATTTTCTTATAAATTCTCAACATGTTCTAAAGGGATATTTAGAAATATAAAAGAAGACCATTTACTAAGCAACCACGAAAAAATTGAGTGAAAAAACTTTACTAAACTTTTCACCTTTGGCTTTTGATTGAACAATTCTACTAGAAAAATCAGTGAACTTTTAGTTATTATATAAAAAAAAGGGAATACTGCGAGAAAATATTTATGTCACGTAAGTTTGTTAGTCGATTTAATCATCTTATATTTGTATACAAATGTCAATCATATACAATTATTATACACTTTATATATAATAGTATATACCGAATTAAGTAACGGTGTAGCGTAATATTTTATGTTGGACCTTATATTTATTTAGGATTCTTATAAATAACTCATGACAAGGTTCAACAATGGTATCTTTGAACATGGAGAAAACATGTGCAAATCCTCTAGCTATAACTTTTATTATTTGTTTTTTCCTACTTGGAACCTCTATCAACATGACTCTTATTTTCCCTTTTCACACAATTACTTCAATAATCTTCTCAATATTCCCATCTTATATTACTATTACAAATAATCAACATAGTAATTCATACTTTGTTGAATCAAAAATCAATCAAATACCTCAATATAATAATAATAATCGTTCGATACCTCGATTCGCTTACTTGATTTCTGGATCAAAGGGTGATCTTGAAAAGTTATGGAGGTGTTTGAGATCAATATATCATCCATGGAATTACTATGTTGTTCATTTGGACTTGGAGTCAAATGTACAAGAGAGATTGGAACTTGCTTTAAGATTGAAAAAAGATGAAATTTATACAAAAGTTGGAAATGTGTATATGATTAGTAAAGCAAATATGGTTACATATAGAGGACCAACTATGGTTGCTAACACACTTCATGCTTGTGCTATTCTACTTGAGAAACATAAAGATTGGGATTGGTTTATCAATTTGAGTGCTTCTGATTATCCTTTGGTTACTCAAGATGGTTAGTACTCTAGTCCTTTAGTACACCTTTTTTATTCTGTTAAATCGATGTTCACACAAATAGTCAGACAGATTTATCTGCCAGTTATTTTGAATTAAATCAGTTGGATGAATGACTTTTTAGATTAGTTCTCTTTTTTTTTAGTTCCACCCTACGTAAAGGGCGGAGCTATATTTCAATGAAATCGAATTCCTTAGTCGAAAAATAATATTGTGTGACGTAGATTAAAAGACTAATTTAATTTGTTGATGGTCGCCCTATTCGCGGTGTTCTTCTCGATAGTTTTAATCTTGTTTGACTATGTTTTTGTATCTATATAAGTTGTTAAATTCGATTTATATGAGGGAATTTTGTATATGACATAAATAAAGGTAGTTCAAAAGTGTACAGATTGCAAGTCCAAACACCGGCAATTAAACTTTAAGGATAGTGTACACACGACTGTTCTTCTAAGACTCTATTTGTAAGATCATACTGAGATGCGTTTGTTGTCAATGTTCTCTCTAACAACTTAAACTATTAAACGGGATATCTCTGATTTTCCTTTTTTATGCAGATCTACTCTACACATTTTCTGATTTGAAATCAGACTTGAATTTCATTGAGCACACAAGTGAGCTAGGTTGGAAAGAGTATGTGTCTTAACTTAGTACTCTTGTGGCTATGAATAATTCACTATTCAAGCTTTAATTCTAATGTCGTTATATATTTTAGGAAAAAAGGATAAATATATCCTCGAATAATTAAAAATGGTATGCAGATACCTCCGTCATGCTTTTGGGACATTGGTGCCCCTACAGTCCAAAGACTAGAGCATATACCATTTATACTAACTGACATACACGTGTCATAATTTTATCCACCAACCTGACATCAGATCAATGGATAAGATTGTGTCACGTGTCCCTATTTAGTCTTTCTTTAGAGTGAAAGATATATACGCTCAAATTTTTGAATGACAGGAGCACTAATGTCCCAAAAAAGTATGACGGATGATATCTACATACTATTTACGATAGTTTGGGTATATTTCTCCTTTTTCCCTATATTTTATTATCATTTTGCAGGGCCAAAAGGGCAATGCCACTAATTATAGACCCAGGGTTGTACAAAACCACAAAGTCTGATATATTTTGGGTCACACCAAAAAGACATGTTCCCACAGCCTTTAAACTCTTTACTGGTATTTTGACTTACCTTATAAGTGATTTGATTGTGTAAATATTACGTACGACAACGATGCATAAAACTCAAACTCTAAAGCATGTTACAAACATGACCACAGGTTCAGCTTGGATGATCCTTTCACATGCATTTGTGGAATACTGTATATGGGGATGGGATAATCTCCCTAGGAACCTACTTCTGTACTACTCGAATTTCGTGTCCTCTCCAGAAGGCTACTTTCAGACAGTTGTATGCAATGCACCAGAATTCACTTCAACTGTTATCAACCATGACATGCACTATATTTCTTGGGATGTTCCTCCAAGACAGCATCCACATACACTTACCCTCAATGACACTGCAAATATGATAGCAAGTGGAGCAGCGTTTGCGCGCAAGTTCAAGCAAGATGATCCTGTTTTAGACAAGATTGATATGGAATTACTAAATAGGAGTAATGGTAGCTTCACACCTGGTGGTTGGTGTGCTGGAAATCCTCCTTGTTCTAAAGTTGGAAATCCAACAAAACTTAGGCCAGGTCCAGGGGGTCAAAGACTTCGACGTCTTATTGATGAACTAGTATTTTCAGCTAAATATGGTCAGAACCAGTGTAGTTAGATCTTTGTTGTATTTGCATCCTTGCTTGCTAATCCACAAAAGCAGGGGGGACAAAAATGTATCATTAAAAGAGCCAGACAAATATATCGACAATGAACTCAGCCATTTGTCGAATAAACAGGCCAGTAGATGAGAATATAACACGATAAGATCACCACCATCAACTGATTAGAACAAAAGTTTAACTTCTATGCACCGGCAGTGTACAAGTTTTCCACAGAGTCAGGTAAATATGACCTGCAATGATAGGTCTGTCTACGGTATATACAGTGGTAACATAATAAACAATCTCAGACTAGAAACAGAAAATGATTCAAACATATCACATTAGCCACTATCTCCCCACTGAATGATGGAAACTTTGTATTCATGATTTTGTATGTTTTTTCTGTCAAACAAGTTGGCTGGTTATGAACAGCATACATATCTTAGACAGAATGTACTCGAAAGTGAATAATCTGAAATGTTACCTCTGCTTCCTTGTACTCGCGTGTTTAGCAGCTGATCAGATCAGTGTGAACTAAATGAGATACAGCATGGATTCTAAGACGCTGCTTGTATTCTTCTACTCACTGTCATCAGGCAAAGATATAACATTCATGAAATCTCCGTTAGACCTCAAAATTACAGAATATACAAAGAGAATAACACTTGCATCGCTTCCTTCCCACACCCCCTAACCAATATCTATTTACAGCACATTCCACGATGAGAAAAATCTCATGCTTCCATCGAGTTGCTTCCGCTATGAACTAACTACAAAAATATTTGTTTCTTGATGGCAACTTCCTTGTTACCATGGCATCGTATCGAGTTTATCTCTTCTACAACAATATCTTGATGTAACTCCCTCATTGACATTTACCGAACTCTTCTCCTTCACACCTTTCCTCATCTTGAAGTAACTAGTCAACCTTCATGGAATTAAACCACATTATACCATCTCCAAGAGCTTGATATTTCCCATAGAATTTGCGGCAACTAAAGAAGGGGACTGACCACGCCAACACACAGATGAGATGAACTGTGCACTGTCGTCCACTTCATCACCAGAAAGCGGATCTGTGCAGTTAAATTTAAATGACAATGCTGGCATGGGAAAAGCTTTGTGGTAGATGACAACCTGCAGCATGACGGATGTAACAATTACACATTAATAATGGAAAAGTCAGCAGCAGTCAGCACTAATAATCACCAGAAATGGCATTAGATGATGGAATATATTGTTCGGACTCTTCGAAAATATTACGGTGCGTGTAGGATCCTCCAAAAGTAGAGTATTATTGGAGGATCAGATATGGGTGCGGAAACATTTTTGGAGATTCCGAGCAACATACGCATAATGTTCAAATGCTTATAAGATGGGGACTCCAAAAGAAACCTGCCTCAATTCAAAGATGAACTACACATACTTATTTATTTCTTTTGCGGTGGGAAATGTGGGAGGGGAATGATTACAGAAGAATCACAAACTTTTCGAACCAAATTTCCCTTCTCTGTGTGTACATTATGTGAGGAGAGAACCAGATCAAACAGAACTACTCAAGATACAGGATAAAAAAGTAGTTTCTTCCTGTTGGCAGACTGTTAAATTGTTAAGGTTTGGAGTTGGAGGCTCGATAATATGGACTGAAGCTTTTCGCACATTAGGTGTCTAGAGCATTATCTAAGTACTAGATATTCTGCTATGGGATGTACCAGTCAATTACTTCATCTCCTTTTATAGTTTTATATACTTCAAAGAAGAATGAGCGCTTCATTCTTCAAAGGATCAACAGAAGGCTCAACAATACATGAATCAGATCATAAATATTTTTTTTGATCAAGTAAAGGTATTTTCATTCATAAACATGGCCAAACTGGCCGTATACATGGGGTATATATACCAAATTAAAAGGTGAAGATTCTACAAAATATGATTCTCTACAAACTCCACCCAACCATCTATACAACAAAGAACTTTCTATTTACACCAAAAGAAAATAAGGGAGCGGAGACTACTCCCCAACTGAGGGAGACTCGATTCTACTCCTTCAAAAGCTCTCCTATTACTCTCTCCAACCTACCCACATTAATGCAAGTGGAACCACATTCCAAACCCTTCGTCTTCTTCTCCTTCTCCTGCTCTTCCAACTGAACATCAAATCTTTAACAGTTCTTTGAATTGCCAAGGGAGTGTGAAACCACTTGAAATTTAAGAAAAAAGGAAGACTTTTGAAACTTGTGATCTAAACAATCCTTAGATATTTGTGTGGTTGTAATATTTATGTGAACTTAGAGCCATAAAAAGAAACTGAAATCCTTTGGTTTCCTCCTGAAGCCAAGGAAAACATCTTTTGCAGACTGTCTAGGAACCTACTTGTGCAAATTATAAACATAAGGTACCAACTGACAGTCTGAGGCAAATAAATGATAGCCATCACAAGGACACATGTAAGGATGTAATTAGTGATGTCATTCATGTGCACGTCTCAATGCCGTACATGCACAGTATAATCTAAAGACAGATCTATAAATGTCTAAATAAAGACGGGTAACATATTGCACAAGTGGCAATTGGCACAAGGTGAACACATGCTCAAAACCCAACGTGTTGTCTAGAACATTCAGATTACACCTAGTGTTGAGGGTGCCAAATTCCATTTCATGTAAGTGAGTTTTGACCAGTTTGTACTTTTTTCATATTGTATTTCAGCATGACTGGTCATATTGTATGCCTTCTGGTAAAAAAAATCATTTCATGATAAGTCATTTTGTATTTTTAGCATAAAATACTTGTATTTCAGCATGACTGGTCATATTGTATGCCTTCTGGTAAAAAAAATCATTTCATGATAAGTCATTTTGTATTTTTAGCATAAAATACTTGCTTTCTGTACCTTTATTGTAAACAGCTATCTGGAACTTTAAACAAAAATTGCAGCCGCATGTATCTTGATGCTCAAGGAACCAGTTCTAGTCAACTATTCCCTTTAATATGATGTAAACAAACATTTTCGGTGGAATTATTGCTCATAACTCATTTAAAATGCACTCAAGTACACAAGTACAGATTCAACTTTGCGGTAATAAATGATACCTCATTTGTCTCTGAGCCAGTTGCTATGTAACCATCAGATACAGATAGGCCAACAAAGTTCTGAAACAAAGAAATGCTTTCATCAGTAGCAAAGCATATTCAAGCACAATTACATTATCACGGGAAAGGGAAGATACAAAGCACAAATCAGGAGTAAGTTGTATGCAGAAACTAGAGACATGATTTGGTTACTTTTGGTCATATCTCAAAAAGAAGAGACTGGTGACAGTCTTGATGATACAAACCAACTAATCTTTTTTTAGGTATGGCTGAGAATTACTTTATAGATGCATAAGCTTCTATATACTTAATATAAGTTACGTGTCAATAATCTATCATTTGATTAACTACATTATAGAGAGAGTGCAATATGACATATGAATGCTTTAAGACGGGTCACATATGCAAGACTGTAACTTGATTCTCTAGATATCCAAGACAAGCTTGTGCATATTTATTAAATTTATGCAACATGTACACATATTTAATCGCTTCCTTTCTCTGTCCACCTCTTCTTCATCTATTCATCCTGGTTTAGTCCCTATTGCTGCTCCCACCCTACTTTTTTTTTTTTTTTGTAAAATCTCCATTTCCTTAACCCGCAACAAAAGCTATTCAAAACTCCATTCCAATTCATCTATTTAAAAGTTTACCATAACAGTGGAACAGGAAAGGCCTTATAGGTAGACTTGTTGTCATTGAGACATAGGTAGATTCTACCAAGGGTAGTGAAGAATCAAGCTGGTAGTCAAAAATCCAACTTCTCTCGTGGTTCTGAAGAGGATCAAAACTGGCTGACATCAAGTAGAGGACTGGGTATGTTTAGGTTGAGACTCATTCAGTACTAGGTGGCATAAAGCCCCGAAACATCTAAAAAATTATTTGGGCAAGTTACAATCCTAATTGCATGATTCAGGTAGTCCTGAGGTGTGTATGGACCCACATGAAGGTGGTGAAGTTTTTGGGACATGATAATGTATGCATGGTATAATTTAGAAGATATAGAAAGGATAAATAACAAGAATGAGCCATATGTTAACCTTTAAAGACCGTGAATGCTTAATTTAATGGTGCACACAGTCTATGAATGGGTATGAAATGTTCACTTGGTTCACTGTATGGAAGTTAGGGCGGTGGGGGCTCATCATGCAGTCACTAAGTTTTGGGGCATGACAGGTGGCTAGCAGGGGTTGGAGCAAGCGGATATGCTTGTGGAGTAGTTAGAGTAGACAATATGAAAGGAATCGAACAGTTCAAACTCCGCTTTGAATAATTTCGGTCCAGCTCGGATAGAAAATATTCTAGATTAGCTACACTACAGACCCAAACCTACCTATTGCTCTTATACAAAAACGTTATACGTCCATGGCTGGGAAATTGGCAAATTCATTTGCACTCAATCTTGATTTCACAAATCAGGTGAACAATTCACAAAATACGTACTTTTTCCTTTTTACCTAAGAAGAAGAAAAATTAAGAGAAAATTGAACTCCCGGAGAACGGAAATCAGATAGGAATTTAGAATAATGGATTTAATCAACTGTATGGGCAACTTAGATCTCTCTTAACTATATCACTGAGAATGTTACAACAGTCACACTGTTCGATGAGATCACAGAAACAAAATCTTTATTCAGGTGATAGGATCTAAGTATGATACCTTTACATTCATATGTCCAGTAAATGACTGAAGAGGAGAATCAAGAATACGAGATGTGCATGTTGACAGATCCCACAGCTTTATTGTATTGTCCGTAGATGCAGACACAAGAGTTGTTGAATCTATGAACTTGACATAGCTCACTGTCTTGTTGTGCCCAATTAATGTGCATAGAGGCAACTTCGAGTTTCGTAGGTCATAGTAATATATCTTATGATCTGCTGAACCAAAAGCAAGGGCCCGACCTGAATCAACAGGGAACTGAACACAGCAGACATTGGCTTTTGTT